GCTGGCACGGCGAGTCGGGTGTGGATGAGCCTTGGGCTCGCACCTCCAGGCCCAGTGCCCGACTTGGCCTCGCCCCCGCTTGGCCGTGCCCACCCCTCGGCACCTACCTTTACTCGGCCAGGCTGTTGCGCATCGACTCCTTCTCCCGCAGCGCAGCCATGGCAAGGCGCAGGTGCTCCTTCAGCTGCTCGATCTCCCGCTCTGACCGTGTCTTGATGTGGTTCAGCTCTACGTACACATCCTGGTACTTTCCCGAAGTGAAGCGCTCCTTGTCCTGGGAGGGCGTGGAGGGGCCGTGAGGCCACGAGGCCTCCCCGACCCGGCCCCGCCTACCTGGCCCAGGCCCACGCGCTCTCTGCCGGCACAGAGCAGCCAGGCCCCTGCACGGCCCTACGGCCCTGTCCCTTGGGGTGCCCCCTCGGCAACCCCTAGCCCTGAGTACACCCTCCCAGCACGGCCCAGTGAGCCTCCAGGATCATTTTCACCTCTCGAGATGGGAGCTGAGGTTCAGGGAGGCAAAGGCCACTCGGCAGTGAGTGGCCAGGATGTGAACCGGGTCGGCCTGGCCCAAGCCTTGGGCCCTTTCCATGAGTCTGACTCACACATGCTCACAGAGGATGTCAAAGACTTAGGGACGTGGCACCAGGCAGGCCAGGCTCACAACCCTGGACCCAAATCCGGGCCCTTCCCCACTGCCAGCCACGCAGCTTCCTCACTGGGACGCATGCTCCACCCCGCAGGGACTTGGGTCTTTTCTGTTCACAGCTGTCTCCCCAGCGCCTAGCACGGTGCCCGGCACACAGTAGATGCTCAATAAAAATTTGCCGAATAAATAAAAGCAAGTGTGGCCGTGGGCAAGTCACTTATCCTCTCTTAGCCTGTTTCTCTGTCTCCAAATAGGGACAAGGACACCTTGGCCTCGGGAGAGGCCCGAGGAGAGCCATGACATGAGGAGGCAAGGAGAGTGCCTGGCACAGAGCAGGCGCTCACAGGTGGGTCCAGAGGCTCCCTCCCCAGTGGCCCCCAGTCAGGCCCTACCTTCTGCAGCATCTGTAGCTCATCCCGGAGGCACTGCACCTCCTTCTTCAGGTACTGGAGCTCGTTCTCCTTCACCCGCAGCAGCACCTGGGGTCATGGGCGCCAGGCTGACCCAGGGCCAAAGGCCAGGGCTACCCCGGCCCACGGCACCCTGCAGCCTGGCTCTCTCTGCCTCAGGCCCCTAAGATGCAACCCCCAACCTGCACCAAGACCCACCGCACCCCATGGGCAGGCTCCTCCAGGAAGCCCTCTCTGATTTCTCCTTGCTGGTTCGAAGATTCAAGAAGTTAACAGATATGAAGGACTTACAGAAGTTCCAGACAGAGTAGAGCCATATATAAATTTTCGTACAATAAAATAAAACACGAGGGCGATCCTAGGATCACACACGTTTTCTCACTCCAGCCTCTCCCAGTAAGGGGGGTGCCAGCCTCATTCTACAGAGGAGATGCTGGAGGGGGCAGGACCCGAAGGGGAGGGCTGGACTCTGGCCATAGGGCTCTCCTCCCTGGGGCCCAGCCCCGCGGAGCGATGCCACTCCCTGCCGCAGGGCACAGCCGGCCTGTCGGGGCCCCGAGAACCAGCCAGGCTGCCCGGCACAGGGGTGGGCGCTCACCTCCAGCTCACAGGAGCTTCGCTCGCTGCTGCGTCCACAGCCGTCGCTGGTGCCCTGCGAGGCAATGAAGCCGCGCAGCCGGTCGATCTCCTCTGACAGGCGGGCGTGCAGCTCCTGGGGGGCAGGGACGGTCAGCGCAGGGACGATGGACCGCCGTCCCCGGAGCCCCCCACCCCGGGCCAGGCTCACCTGGTTGTGGCGCAGCAGCTCTTGGCCCTCTTGCTGGCAGCGCCGTAGCGTGTGCTCACGCTCCTCGGCCTGCCGCGTCAGGGCCCCGATCTCCAGGCACTTCTGCGAGTACTGCTCCGACAGCACCTGCAGCTCCCGCTTCAGCGCCGCCACGTCCGACCTGTGCGGGGTGGAGGACGGCAAGGACGGCATGGGACTCGGGGCAAGATAGACTCAAAGCAGCTCCAGACTCCGGGTGCCCGCCCTAGTTTTGCCTTCGGCCCACTGTGGGGCTGTGACCTGGTGACAGCCTCTCTGGGCCGCAGGTGCCTCCCGTATGAGGGGCTGAGTTAAGCCTCAAAGGCCTCCCAGGTCCTAACATCCCAGAGCTGTGCTGCGTGGCCAGAAGGGACACCTACTGGCCGAGGGTGGTACTGCAGCCCAGCTCTAGGGGACACTAACCGGAAGAGGAGGTGGAGGCTGAAGAAGGGGTCTGAAGAGCTATCTCTGTGGACTGGCACGGGGGTCTGGCTGAGGCCCCACCGCTTCTGTTCCCTGTGCCAGGTGGCTGATCGGGAGTCTCAGCTGGGGGCAAAATGATGTGTCCTCTGCCGAGGGGCCTCGGCATAGGTTCCTGCCTCATAAACACCGAGGTGGGCAGCTGGGCCCTTAGCTCAGAACGAGGCCCAGCCCACAGACCCCAGGGTCCGGATGCCAGCTTACTGGTGCTGCTTGCGAAGGCCATCTGGACCCTGTTGGAGACTCCGTGTCTTGCTCAGTTCCCGGCTCAGCTCCTCCTGGTAGGCCTTCTTCATGGCTTCGATGGCTAGAGGCAGGGCAGAGGCATGGGGGGATCTTGGGGAGGAGTCAGCAACAGTAAGCTCCACCTCCTCCAAGGCCCCACAGATACCATGCAGGCAGGAGCAAAGAACACTGGACCAGGCTGTATCAGGAGCTGAGGGGCTTTGGGTAAGTTGCTAGACCTCTCTGAGCCCATCTATCAAGGGAGGGTGACAATCCCTGTCTGACAGGACAGTGCTGGGGAGACGCCTCAGCGTCTGACCACTGGTACGTCTTGTTGGTCACGTCCGTGTAAGGCCCCACACAGCCCGCCATCCCTGCAGAGCCTGGAGGGTTCTTTAACAAGGCCCAGCTCCCTTGCCCAGCCCGGCGGTCAGGAGTGCAGGGGCCGCAGCTGGTACAAATCTATGCAACTTTACGAAGGGCACCTAACCACTCTTTGCCTCCAGTCCCTTGTTGGAAAACGGGGTTACCAATAGCACCTTCTCTCGTGGGTTATTGGAGGATGCAGATAGAGCATTTAGAGCAATGCTTGGTCCAAAGTAAATGCCCAGTAAATGCTCCCATTGGCTTATTTTTCGGGCTGTGAGCAACCAAGGACCAAGTGTTTCCACACTCACGCAGGGTTATTGGGAGGATTAAATGAGCCCTCACCCATAATCTTATCCCTAATTCTAAAATCCGAAGGCTCTGAACACTGAGAGCTTTTCATAACTCTTTTGGTGGCAATCCCTGACCCGAACAGACGCAGGGGCCACTTGCGGTCATTCTCAGCCCATGTTTAGCATGACTCTGAGAAATTTCACTGTAAAAACCTTGGTGCTAGATTCCAGGGGAGAGTCCAGACTCTGCTGGGAAGGATATCTAACTGATGTACTAAGGTATCTTCCTAAAATGCAAAACACACTGGCCCCAGGCTGTTTGCGATGAGGGGCCAACGGGGCCGGGGGTGTGAAGCACGTGGCATAGCGCTGGCAGGTGGGAAAGTTCTGGATCATGTGACTTCTCTCGTCCTTTCCTATCACTCTGCAAACCGCTCCGAAGTGCTTAGGATGCACCAGACCTACACAGCAGGTGCGCAGTGAACACAGGGAGGGAGGGAGCTGTCCAACGTCTCGGGCATTCCTGTTTCCGGCTTGGGAGGGCAGGGGGTGGGGTTCAGGGCACGGCTTTGCAATCAGGGTGCTCTGAGCTCCATCCCCGGCTCTGCCATCTGGACAAGTCACCAACCTCTCTGCGCCCGTTTATTCATCTGTTAAATGGGGGCCCTCGATCAGGCACTGCATGGGCCAAGGGTGCTCGCGTTCCCCAGAACGGGGCTTGGCAAAGGCTCACGCCTTTCCTCCCGCTCTGCCCAGGGTCCGGCCCTCTCACCCGGGGAGATGGCACTTCTGTGGCTGAGCAGGCTCCACCCCAGCACAGAGCGCGCACCTGGGCAAGGAATTGGGGCTCCGTGCGTGTGTACGGCTTGGGGGCGAAACCCCCAGTGGCCGCAGGCCCCTGAGGGAGAGGAGTCACAACCCAGGGAGACAGTAGGGGCGGGGGGGGGGGGGGATCCTTTTATTGCCTTGGTTTCCCTTGCTCAAGTAGGAGCAGAGGCCAGTTCTAGGGGCTCCAACCCCCCCTGGTGCGTTTTCCCAAGTCTGGCACTGAGACCCCCCCTCTCCTATCGAAAGCCTTCCCCGATTCAGCCGGGGGCCGCAGCTGGGAGGCTCGTGGGGCGCAGGGTTCTCACCCGAGGCCGTGGCCGCCGTCTCCTCGGCCAGGAGCCACTCCTTCTCCTGCTGCAGCCGCTGCAGCTCCCGCTCGTGGTGCCGCTGCAGCTCCTCCATCACCTGCTGGTGCGAGGACTCCATCTCGGCCAGGCTGCGCTCGCACGCCTCCTGCGGGCGGGAGGCCAGCACGTCCCAGGGCTGCCCCCACTGCCCAGGACACGGGCCCCCTCCCCAGCCCGAGGCGGGGAGCCTCAGGGGCAGGCTTCTCCACCTCTCCTCCCTGGAGCCGGGAGCCACCGGCCGCACCTGCGCCTGCTCCCCCGGTCCACAAACCTCACCATGTCACTCTCCTGCTTCAAACCCTTCCGAGGCTCCTATCCTGTGGGGCCAAGTCCCTGCTCCCCTGTCCGACCCTCGTGGCCTCAGCCTGGGCCTTTCCCCACCAAGGAAGGCCAGTCACGGCATGTTCACATCTCTGAGCTTTAGCTAAGGCTAAGCCCTCTGCCTGGAACGTTCTTCTGCTACTTTCTCTTCCGGGATAACTGACTTTGGCCTGCAGCCCAGCTCAGTGTCCTCCCTGCTCTGCCTCTGGACGGCCTCTCCCCTGCCTCCGAAGGTTCTGCTTCTGCTGGACTAGAAGTTCTCCCAAGACAGGGAAGACCTGACCCAGCTCGGAGTCCCCGGCGTCTGGACCAGGGCCTGACATGGGGCAGGTGCTGAGTAAGTGAACGGAAATTGATGACATCACAACACAGGGCCTGCAGAGAAGACTGGCAAGTATTTAGAAGACTGCTAATGCCCACCGCTTGGGAGAGTCAGCTGTGACGGGTGTGCCGAGGGCAGTTGATGGCGTCACCACACTTTCAGTAACCCCATCCCTCGACCTAGCAGAAAGTCACATGTATAAAGACTTGCGGACGGGGGTGAAACAGATGAAAACGGGACACGGTCCGAATCCCTAATGGGGGAGCCCTTAAATAAATGATGGGATCGAGCCTTGCAAAAGAGGAGGCGGGAGGGCAGAGAGGGAGAAGTGACCACGGAAAGTCAATGACGGGAAGCGAGGGGGACCAGACTCTCCGTTGCAGGCTTTGAAGATGGAGGAAGGAGCCAGGAGCCAAGGAGCGCAGGTGGCCACAAGCCGCCGGGAAAGGTGAGGAAATGGGCCCCACCTGGAGCCCGGCGAGATCTGAGTTAGACTACCATCCTTCAAAACCCTGAGATGATAACTTTGGGTTCTTTAAGGTGGTGGTAAATTTCTTTCGAGAGCAACAGGAAACTATACGGATGTGCTCAAAGGTAACCAAGGTGACCCCTGGGGTGGGAGCAGGCAGGGGAAGGAGAGCTCGGGTGTTTATTTCTAACCTTTTGATTGGTTTGAATTATTTTCGAAAATGTAAACATATTTCTTATGTATTTAAATTTAAGATCATTAAAAAGGGAAGGGCAAGAGCCCCAAGAAGAAATCGAAGCAGAGGGCCAGATAAGACAGTATACTCCACCCCCCCCCCCCACCTGATACCATAGGGCACGGTGGGTGAGGACCGCCCTCCACCTGTCCAGCAGCCACACCAGAGGGCTTTAAGGGCCAGGCCTCCTGGGTCCAGGTGTTCTGAGTGGGGGGCAGGGAACATCTGTCCCTCTGCATGTGTCCTCCATGTCCCTCCAGTGACAACAACAGAACATAGCTTTGGAGTTCCACACACTGGGTCCAGAGCCTCGCTGTACTGGAGTGAACTTGAACGGGCCCCTTCCCCACGCTGAGCCTCAGTGTCCTCATCTATAAAACAGGCCCATAAGGCCAACTCATGAGGGTCCCTAAGATAAACCCACCTACAGAGATGGGAGCAGCACAGGGGGTGGGGAACCGATGTTCTTAAAGGGCCAGATCAGGCAGGCGGACCCGGCAGTTAATAGGGGGTCAGAGGCAGGACCGAGACCAGGAGGAGGGGCTCCTAGAAGGCCAAGTGCTATTCTCTCTGACATATCTTCCCGAAGGCCCAAGGTGTCCAGCAGCCACCTCTGACAGGGATCAAAGTGGATGAAGAAATGCCTGTAACCCCCCCCCCCC